ATCTTCGTATTTATATATTTAATCATTGATCTCCTGTAATTAGTTACATATTATACAACATTTGAAGCCCTTGGAACATATGAGAAAAGCCTTCTTTGAAACAGTGTCCGATAAAATGACTAGTCCCTATAGATAGTGTTGTTGGCGTGACCCCACTCAAACAAAATCTGCTTTTTATAACACAGCCTAGCAGCTATGCATGAAGTTGGCTATTTGTACACAGCTATGGTCATCTACCGCGAGACTATATATGTATTAATATGGAGGAACATTATCTGCTCTTGAATGCCCTAATCATTCAACTGAATACTGGAAGTAGACGGTAAAAAGTATCTCGTATTGTATAACCGCGATTTTATTTCCCATTCTTAATTAATGGATTAATGGACTATTATGGCGTCGCTTATTTCTGAATGTGATTAACCCCTCGCCCTGTCGGACAATGTCTATTTAGGAAATATTAAAGTCCGTTTTTGAAGTAACGTTTAAAATGTATGTTAATTGAAAATAAATACCAATGGACGCATTTTGAAATAAATGCAACAAATACAACAAACGGTGCAATGAATCATTTACTTTTTTAGTTTTTAAAGCCAAAATGGAATCCCTTTATATAGGGTCAAAACAGAATATTCTCTACAATACCTCTTTTTTATGATAATACACGATTCCATGGACAAAAACTAATCAATGATATAGATAGAAGATTCGTAAAGGTGTTTTGTTTGTAATTTTATGTCTAACTTACGTTTTTCGAAAATCTTTCTTGACTTCATAGGTTTCAAGCGATCAATTCTTCGACCTTTTTCCAAGAGTTTATATCGGTTTTAGTATCGTGGTTGGCTCGATGGTCTTGGGATATGATTCTAACTTCGGGTGGGAGTGGTCCCGGGTTCGAATCCCGAACGAGCTTCCATTTGAAGGAACAGTATTATTATTCTGGTCGCTTATTCGAATGCGGCTAGAAGGATATTCTGTAATAGGAAAATTTATCTTTCTAATACAAAATATGATTTTAGTTTTACCCTCTTTCTCTCCTGATCTCTTTCTTTCGTATTAAATCGAAATGTTTCTTTTTCTTATATCATTACTTCCTTATCTCTCAGTTCTAAATACTTCTTTTTCTGCATAAACTTTAATTATTTTAAAAATCAAGACCAGCAATGTGATTGTAAACATCAACCTACATTGGTTGTATTTGATGAAACAGAATATTAAAACAAATGTGGCATAGTTGTACAAGTCGTCAAATCGATAAAATTCATAAAAAAAATATACATGTAGATGATAGTTGGTCGACTACGGATCCTATATCAAGAGTATTTCACATTTACATGGGAATAAATTTTTGAATATATATTGTATAACATTGTCCTAGATGTTTTGCTGAATTATTGTTTTTGTTTCTCCTGACGTGTTCTGTATTTTAGCTTCAGTAATAGAAACCGTTTGCCTTGTATCATCAGAATTGGGGGTTATTTCATAACTGGTAATCCGTTTGGAATGCCGGACAACCTACATAGAAAACGTAATTTCAGTCACTGCGAGTGCACCTCATCTTTTCGAAAAACCCAGTGCTCAGGTAAAGCCTTAAAAGATCAGGTATAAAGCGCGTTGGTGGTTAGATTTGATTTCTAATTTTCATGAATGGGAATAATTCTGTCTCGGCAACTGTGTCTATATATTCGAGCTCTTTTGATGAGAGTAAGCTGGATGTTCAGCGGTTTTATCAACGAACGAGCTTGTTGCTGGAATCGATGGCTTTAAAATTAACGTCCCAGTTATATCGTAAATGCTGCTTTAACGTATTTCTACCTAACGATTGTTCACTTTGGAGAATCGCCACTTCTTTATAGCCAGATAGCTAAGCAATGTTAGCGCCTAAGAATGTTCAATTGTCCATATTCAGTGTTTCGTTGGTTCACCGTATCCTGCGCATAAAATCGAAATTTAAAAAAAGTCGAGTCGTTGCTAGGAAGGTAGGCCATGTCAATGATTTAAGTTTCTACTGTCTCTCGGAGCTTCGTGTTCTCACTATTCCCTGCCCCGTGGGTCCACATGAAATCAAACGCATAGGAACAGACAAGTCATTGTTGAGAATTTGGGTTCAACATAAAGACATAAAGGGGTGCTTAAGAGTTGGTTGTTATAACCGCATCATATATATCGTTTTGCTAAATTGCTGTTGTTACTGTTTTTGTTTTAAAAAAATTGCTTTGTATTCGCAACTAATGGTACATTCTATATCAGATTCTCAGTACTTGAAGATGGATGAAGTCGTTAGAAAGCTGTGATAATTATTTTTCAGATTTCTACGACACGATTTGGTATCCGAAATTTTACTGTTTTGTTGTAGTTCATGGGAACACTGAACACACCTTCATACATAATCTGGTACAATTATTCTATCGTTTGGCTGGAATTTCGCTGACATCGAAGAAATCATTTGATCTTCGTATTTATATATTTAATCATTGATCTCCTGTAATTAGTTACATATTATACAACATTTGAAGCCCTTGGAACATATGAGAAATGCCTTCCTTGAAACAGTGTCCGATAAAATGACTAGTCCCTATAGATAGTGTTGTTGGCGTGACCCCACTCAAACCAAATCTGCTTTTTATAACACAGCCTAGCAGCTATGCATGGAGTAGGCTATTTGTATACAGCTATGGTCATCTACCGCGAGACTATATATGTATTAATATGGAGGAACATTATCTGCTCTTGAATGCCCTAATCATTCAACTGAATACTGGAAATAGACGGTAAAAAGTATCTCGTATTGTATAACCGCGATTTTATTTCCCATTCTTAATTAATGGATTAATGGACTATTATGGCGTCGCTTATTTCTGAATGTGATTAACCCCTCGCCCTGTCGGACAATGTCTATTTAGGAAATTTTAAAGTCCGTTTTTGAAGTAACGTTTAAAATGTATGTTAACAACAAACGGTGCAATGAATCATTTACTTTTTTAGTTTTTAAAGCTAAAATGGAATCCCTTTATAAAGGGTCAAAGCAGAATATTCTCTACAATACCTCTTTTTTATGATAGTACACGATTCCATGGACAAAAACTAATCAATGATATAGATAGAAGATTCGTAATGGTGTTTTGTTTGTAATTTTATGTCGAACTTACGTTTTTCGAAAATCTTTCTTGACTTCATAGGTTTCAAGCGATCAATTTTTCGACCTTTTTCCAAGAGTTTATATCGGTTTTAGTAACCAGGTGACCTTATTAATATTTTCTGCAACTTCAATTGCAAATAGGAAAACAACATTAAGCGTAGCTTAGTAACACGACGTGTTCGTATTGGTGTGATAATGTCGTGTTCATATAAATGATATTTCGAGATTTATCTGACCTGGTAATGAAATACTGTTAGTCATACCACCATATACGTGCCGTTAAGCTCGTAAACCTGTCGTATATAGGTTTGTATAAACAAGAGCGCTTCCAAATAATTTATTAAATATATATTCTCCGAATATATTAGGCACCCGCCGTTACGTAATATGCGTTAGAGAATCATAATCGACGTCATATGGCCATATCAACAATGCGAATTCCAGAGATTCCTTTTCCGGTCACAAAAAAAACGTGTGAAATTATAGACATACAAACATGACACATACATAAAAATCTCACTTCACATATCAGTCATGTTTAGTCAGACATTACCCGACTGGGTGTTGGTTGGACACTTTGTTTCGTATCTTCATAAATAGGAGCGAAAGGTTATCTTCTCTTTACTGATTCCATCTAGCAATATTTCTTGAGAATTTCGACGTTTGATATCATGCATCATATATCAATTTTCTACTTTTTAGTTGCATGTCCTTGAAATGAACTTCATGGAAAAAATGGAAAAAAGCACGCAATGCGTATCATCCTTGTCTTGCGTAACCCCGTAAACGGGTGCGTCGAAATTATAGGCCACTAGGAACGTGACTTATCCATGGTCCGACTTTGGCGTAATAAATGCGGTTCATACGTTAGCCTATAAATAATCGTTTAATGTATGCTATTAGATATCATTATACCAACAAGGCAACAACCCCACCCGGTTTATGGCCGTAGCATTGCCCTCATTGAAATCGCCGGGAATTTATGACAAACGCCTATAATTTACACAACTTTTGTTGACTCTACAATTTAACTGTCAGGCGTCTACGTACGTAATCGAATGTTTATTGTGTACTGGCTGGCCTTGGCAGTTCAACAAATACCCATATCAATATTTTTACTTGTTCTCTCGTCGAGTCTCATGTTACAGAAGGTAGAGAAATTAAATATATTGATACGCGGTAGGCGCTCAATAAAGAGGATAAACTATGTGAGACTTCGGCTAGAAAGAAATAGAAAAAAGAGAATTTGGAAACCTGGGATATCATACATCCTCTGGATATAAATTAATTCAATTTAAGACATGTTAGTCAGTTTGTTGATTACGATTTACACTTACAGGGAGGGGGGGGGTCAAAAAATAATCAATAGTATAGAAATGTCCAAAAAGAAAATTTTTACTTCTTAAATTACATTTCACCTAAACCTTCAATGGGTGATTTTTATTTTTTGGTTTTTTAAATTGTTTTATTTTCTAGTCTTTCAAACTTCGGTTCATCGATTGTTATTTTTAAGTTATCCCTTTAAAAAAAGAGGAAGTGAGCATAATATATATAATATGACCGTATGAAGATTATATATGTTTTTGTAGTTAAAACATGCAATAGATAAGCTACTATTGTTGACTGTATTGGTGAACAAAAACGTTTAGTTTTACTTGACTTATTGTCAATCATATGAAATTGAATTGTGGTAATTATGGAAGACATCGGCACGGAAATAGCACTTTTAATTATCGTGACTCATCAGTATTTCATCATCTTTCGCAATATTTCCGTAACATTAAACTGTTCCGAAGTATTTTTAAACTCATTATTATCTTTTAATCTAGCAATTTAAACTACAATGTATTTGAATGACAAGAATGCCTTTCCCGTTCATCTGTTGTTGTTGTAAAACTAAAAGAAAAGTAACAATGAACAAAGCAACACATAGTTCAGTACAATTCAAAAACCCGGTCGTTGAAAAAGAGTTAGAAAAAGAAGAAAAAGAAAAGCTTGACAAAGAAATTAATGAAAAAGTCGAGATAAAAACACGGGAACTGCAAAAGAAAGTTACGGAATTAACACGTAATCTGGAAAAGGTCAATATAGATCTATGTGTAAGTTGTAAATTGTGTAATTGGTAGGATCGGTAAATTGTAATTATGTTGTATTCAAAATATTACGAGAAGATGGGAAAGAAGCAGGTTTCAGTGATTTCATTTGGCAGAATAAATTTCTTTGTTACGAAACAGTAGATAAAATCAATGACACCCTTAAGAACCCCATCAAGAATTAACTCTGATATACATCGACTATCAAATCAAGATATTTATTCTCAGGTTATGTCAAAAAAGAAACATCGACATAATAACAGAAATTAGACAAAATTGAAAATATTAGAATCTCTGGTCTATTGGCATTCTTCGTGCAAAAGAAAATAGCACAAAATCTTTATCGTATAGAATTACGGAATCTAGTATTATTCTAATAATTAGATATGAAACGTCGGATGTATTTTGTAAACGTGTATTTTGGTCACATATAAGGTCATATCGCTGCACTCAATTTAACTACACATGCCTAGCCAAAACCCATGTACGTGCTTTCAAACATTATCGATCCAGTGAAGTTCCAAACAACGCGAAAAGTACTTGGGTGCTTGAACCTCGATGCTTACGAATATTCATAAACGTTCTGACTCATTGTATTTATTCCTAGCAGGCTGATTTTCCATTCTATATTGTATTTATGGGAGTTATAACTAGAGTTGTAAAATGATTTGTCAATATTTAAAAGTGAGCTTGGAGCATGGAAACATCTGATCAACATTTGATTCATAAAAATAAAAATAAATGGCGAAGAATAATAATTCAAAGTTTGCATCGATTCCCAAACTTTGTTATCGATTTGCCTGTCGTCAACCTACTATGACTTATGTTTTCATCTGATATTCGAGTTTAATATTCCTCCATTATGTTTTTCTAAATCGTGATTCATGCCAACGGCAATTTTACCTTCATGAATACTAAAACTATATTGAAAAAAAATCTATTGGAAGCACGGAAATAGCAAAGTCATGTGTATTGTGATATCACATTGCCCAAGGATGACGCGACATAAGTCGAAATCAAAACAAATTCCAATTTCAAAGATATAGGATAGAGATAGGATTTCTCTATGGCACGTACAATGAGCAATTGCGGTTCGTTTGGGAAATTCCCGTCGATAACCGTCTGCGCTAAATATTCACACTGAATGCGTGGATTAAAAATACGACCGAAATTGTTTTCAAGTAAAGGATTTGTACAATTTGTAACGATTCCTGGCTAGCGTCAGAAATATCTTGGCAAAATTATTGTTCATAATAAACTTTCAAATATTTTGTTTTGATTTTTAGCTGGAATACCAAATATTTGAAATAACACATTAAAATTTTCTAGGTTAAAATAAAAAATTCATAAGTTATTTAATGCTGTTTGTCAAATTATCAGTCAAAAATGCTGTTAAAATTGACAAAAATAACTTTCATTTTAGACATGAATCAGCGTTTAAGTTTTGTATAGAAACTCGGGTATAAGATAATAAATTGTTTGGGCGATGCAAACATTCTTTTGGAATGTTGTGTACTGATATGGATTTTGAATTAATTTTAAATCGAAGATTTAATATAGCCTTTCGGTGGATTCCGACTCACATTTTTGTTGACAGTTGGGACCATGGGTCAATATAGATCCAATATTACTTAGAAAAGGATATGCTTCGAGAAAAAATACGTGGACGAAGTATTAATCGCTTTTCTGATGATATTACAACATCGCCAAAATGTTGGGTGAATTGCTTCTTATGCTGAACTATGTACACGTCGCAGAATATCTTCCTATAATACACAAGTCGTTACATTGTTTGCATTAGATTTAAGAAAGACATCCGCGGCGTCACACAATCCGTTGTAAATTGAACAAGGTTATACAGTTTCTCGTAGAATATACGCAACCAATGTGTACTAAGCTGTTCGTGAGTTATGGGCAAATAAGATGGCCATTCGGACATCTCAGCTGTTTCAGCGTGTGTGCTACTATTAACGATAAATTAAGGCATGCATTGAATAATCAAACACTGTCTAATACCTTACAACCAACCAGTAAATTTTATGATTGTATTTAAGAGCTGGGTAGTACTAAATGGTGGTTCGAATTAAAATCAATCTATTTTTAAACATATATTTTTATATTTCAGGAAAGAAACAGTATCTATGAAAAATTAAAGCAACAGCTTGAATCGGCAAACAAGCATATTAAGAAATTGAGTGAAAAATTAACTGTAAGTAGTATGTATATCTAATCCCATGTATATTTTAAAACTAAATTTCTGCCGTTTCTTGCTTTGTCACGTTTGTAAAGTGTAATATCAGCATTTTCCTCCGCCTTATCTATCCATTCCTTTTGGACACAAAATGTACATAATAATATTTGCCTTTGGATTCTTCTCATTACCTACTGGAAAAATCGTTATTCTCTTTGATTACTGGACCAATTGCTTTGAAATTTCAATGGTTGAAGATTGTATTTTCCGCTAGATGGCTATTACTTTTATTTATTCCTGTTGCCTCTGAAGGAGTTTACGTTTTTTTTGTGCGATGACAACATAAAAAATACAAATTGCTGACCTTTTGGCGGTTCCGCGTTCGCGATCTTGTGGTCAGGCAAAGTCGTGAACACGGCGGGCACCGGTATGTACTGTGACAGACTGCATTACCGTTCTACTTTGTTTGGGGGTTCGTGCCCATGTATTTGAGCATCGCTCTCTTGTTTTTATGTGTGTTTGTGATTGACTAGTGGTGATAGTATATTTTGTCCAATCAGACTACTCTACGAAGTTTCATAACACTATAGACGCTCAGACATGGGAATTTATTATATTATATCTCAAAGCGGATTTGCAAGTCGAAACAGACTATATAGGATCTGACTTTTGCGAATACTGAATCAAATACAACCCTATGCATTGTCTTATTATTAGATAGACGATACGCTCTTGTTTTGAGCATGAGGTTCAAACACTTTTTCTCATAAAATTTATATTAGAATTATTGAAAATGTTGCTATTTACTGTTTTAGCAAACTGAAAAAATCCACAAAACTAAGGAGACACACTATGAAGAACAACTGAAGAAGAAAGAAACAAAAATTAAGAATTGAAATCAAAAATGTGGTCGATTGTGAGTTTTAATTATTATTCATTGATAAAACACAAAATATTACAAAATAAAGCTTTTTAAGGAGAAAAATATTCAAACAGTAATTTTTAATCAATACTGAGTTATATACTTAAATTACTTAATTTATTTGAATCAGTTGGTGCATTCGATAGACTTTATCGCTAATACATATAAACTACGTACGATTGATATATACAACAGGTTCCTCCACAAGACAGTGGGACGAACAAGAAGAGGGGCAGTTGCAGGAGCTAAGATAAATTCAGATGTAATGCCAGAAAAATTCTACAAATCCCCGGATGTTATTCAGTTTCTATTCGAGGTAAATTTCGATATGATCTGCAATATTTATCAAGCGAACTCTTTCGAAGAAACAGAGCAGGGTTATTAAATATTTACAAAAAAACTCCTGACTTAGCGGTAAAAATCAAATCACCCGGAAACATACAAATTTTTCTAAATATAGCACAGTGATATAAATTTCCCAGAAACCAAATACATGTTGAAACAAAATTTCTTCTTTTTTTAAACCTCTGAAAATAGTTTTTGTTAGTTGTGGTCTCAATCTTCATCACATCCTAATAATTCCATCAACCATGGTGTAAAGTATTTGACTTGAAATATCTTTTAATTTTTCAGTCTCTACAAAACAACGAGCTCTTACAACATCTCAGTGAAAATCAAATGTTTGAAATGATTAATTACATGAAACCAAAAGGATTTCCACAAAATGACACCGTAATGAAAGAAGGGACATCGGGAGATCGTTTCTATGTACTTCACAGTGGAGAGTGTGAAGTCATTAAGGTAACCACGTAGGTAGTCTAGGAGGTTCTGTGATTTATTATTTTTTAATAACATGTTATTCCTATAAATATGAAGAGCATGTTTACCCTAGCAGTTTCGTCACAGTCTCTGAATACACACTTTTGTACGAAATGACATACAGAGTTTCAGTTGGACCAGTTGAAAATGTTTAGTTGTTGTTGGGTCAAAGTTCGACTTATGTTTTGAATCAATGTTTTTATTCATTGCATCATTCTACGTCATAGTTCGGTCAAAAACCTCAATATTCCCCATACCCCATTTTAGAATAAAAAATAAATCACAAAATTTTCAAACTTTTCAATCAAGGCAATTTATTACAATACTTTCTCCTTCCCTCGTCTTCGATTGTTTGTTATCTAAACTGGTGCAAATGTATGCCCGCCTAGTTCTGCGGTCATCTGATTTGTAACAACTTGATGTTCTCGTGAACTAAAACTGTCGGTTAGTAGGAGTATCGTTTATTTTGCGGTCTTAGACAGCCCGACGTACGGGACGATCTGGCACAGAAAGACACCCGAATCGATTATCCAGTTGATTGCTCGCACGCAATTTACCTGGAGTATACTGCAGCTTACAACCATGATGCATTTTATTATGTGGTATATTTATTTGACCCAAACGTAGCCTCTATTTTTAAGTTCTAGCGTATAAGGACGTATTAAATATTTCATTTTGAATTCTTTTATGAATGTGCATCTCATGCGAAAACATAGTTTTAAAAAAAAACATAAATTGTCGTTTTTTTATCGCTGAATCTTTCAAAGATATCGATTTTGTATTTCGAAGTTTATTTCCATATTCAAACTAAAAGTCCATATGCAGAATGTATTTCTGATAACTTGTACAATAATATTAACATGAGGCAATTATTTTACATAATTACTTTAACATGAAGTAGTTTGAAGCTTTTTGATCGCGATCAGCACATGCCGATAGAACACAGAGGCTATCACGTACAAGCCATTTTCCGCAAGAGAAATAGCAGACACCCAATAAATAATCGTTTGTTTGACCTGAATGCTGGCTGCTGTTTTTTTATTTACGCAGTAGTGTTTGCTCGGTGTTGTTCTTGTAAATGAACCATTAATCAGGCTGTATAACGTCATGCTTATATGCTGAGTCAATACGCCATTGGGTGAAAAAATTTCTTGGTTTATTGTTTACTTTGTTTTCTTATTCCTCGGTACTTTCTCCTCATGCAATAAATTGATCAATGTCGCTGTAGAGCGATGAAATACGATTTAATCAATTTCCAATATATGAGTAGTACCACCTAGTACGCATATGGTTTATTTATTTATATGTTCAATAATCTTTTTACATAGGGAGATAAGCGCGTAGCCATTTTATCAAAAGGGAACGTTTTTGGTGAATTGGCGATATTATACAACTGTAAACGAACAGCAACCATCGCAACTCTCAGACCGGTCAAAGTCTGGTATATTGAAAGAGATATTTATCATCATGTCATGGTAAAGGTTGGAAAATCAAAAATTACAGAATTAAAAAAAGTAAGTTTTCGAACTAGCAGCAGCAAGCAATGCAGGAAATACCGTATTCGTACATAATAATACAATATTGGTAAAAATGCAGATTTGTTGATTTACAATGCATGGTCTTACATTATGATTTATTACCAATCTTATTTGACTGGTATCCGTTCATTAGTTTTGTTTGTGCAAACTTTTCATATTGCCAAATATTTGCTTACCGTCTAGCTTATGATGAAGTATATACAAAACATCTCCTATATGGGTATATTATTTGGAATTGGCAAGTATTTGGTTTCCTGTCCTGGTGACTTTTCGGTAAGATTCGAAATGAATCTCAAAATCCAAACAGGACTTTTAAATCCGTTATTTAAGTTAATTTTTATCCGGTATCCGTTATTTAAGTTAAACCCTACGAGTAATACACGATGGTGAATATCATATAAACTTCTTGATTTAATCTGCAGCTCGTCAAAGATACACCATTGAAACACCTTAGTCCTCGAAAGTTTGCAAAAATTGCTGATGCTGTGAATGAAGAAGAATTTCAAAAAGGAACCTATATTATACGACAAGGCGAAATTGGAAAAACATTTTACATCGTGAAAGAGGGCGAAGTTAGCGTTACTCAAATTAAAAATGGTTCAGCATTACGTGAAGAGGTACTCATACGAACTTTAAAAAAAGGAAGCTTTTTTGGAGAAAAAGCACTTCAACGAGATGGGGACAAACGAACGGCGAACATTATTGCTTTATCGGAGAAAGTGGTATGCCTCACTTTGGACAAAAAGTACTTTGTGCATTTAATTGGTGATGCAGCTTATACACTGTGGAAAGTCGGTCGACCATCATTTTCTGAACGCCTTGATATACCCGTTAATCAATCCCATAGATTCTCCTCCTCTTCTGTGACGCCATTTTCAACAAATTCATCTCCTATGGAGGTACGAAAATCAAGACGAAAAACATTTGAACCTTTGAGCATTAAAGATCTTCATTCTATCAAAGTATTAGGACAAGGTTCATTTGGAAGAGTGGAATTAGTTCGAATATATCAAGATAAGAAAACTACCTATGCACTTAAAAGCCTAAGGAAGGTAACTTAAAAGACAAATATTAGGAAATTTATTCTTGTTCTTATAGTTCACATTTAAGTTGCTTTTTGTACAGAATGGTTTCAAGAAGGACATCTGAATAACTGAATTCAATGTTGCTATCAATATTTTCAGGCTCATATTGTAGAGAATGACGAACAAGAGCATGTTTACTCTGAGAAGAATATTTTACTCAAATGCCACTGCCCGTTCATAGTTGAACTTTATAGGACTTTTAAAAACAGCAAGTAAGGGTTAATAGATTACAATTATAAAATTCAAATCAAAATAATTCTTAAATAGCAGTTAGTCACTACGGTTGTGCATAGTATATTGCGTAGAATTGCAGGAATATTGTTGCGTTTCGAGGCTTTTTATTTGTGAGTCTATATCAACATATTGATTTACCATGACGCTAGAATTTTGTGCTCTTACTAACAACGTAACATCCTATATAACAATTCTACGTTGCATGTGTTTGGAATGTCGTTATACAGAATATGTAGTAAATATCTTGCTTTTGGTAGGTACGTTTACATGTTGATGGAAGCTTGTCTTGGAGGAGAATTATGGACGAGATTACGCGAAGAAAAACAATTTTCTGATTCCAGATCTAAATTCTACACGGCATGCGTAGTTGAAGCATTGGATTATATACACCAAAGAAACATAGCACATCGAGATATAAAAGTAATACTCTTTTGCTGCGTCTCTTTTTTGATCCTCGTCATCCCCGCACTCATATTTCTTTCAAACATGCCCAGTCTTTTATTTTTATTCTTGCTGTTTCTACAGTTAACTTGAACGGTATAATTTTACTTTTCCAGCCAGAAAATTTACTTTTGGATAGTAATGGTTATGTCAAACTCGTCGATTTTGGATACGCTAAAACTATTGAACTTGGTGAACGAACATGGACTTTCTGTGGAACTCCTCAATATATTGCACCAGAAGTAGTTTGGAATCAGGTAGTCAAACACAAAATAAGATACGTTATTAAGGCAAAGAATTTGTTTTCAACATACCAAATGGGAATTCGCTATTCCACCAAATTACTTTAATACTTTGACGCAATAGAATTACTTTGGCACAGAATAGCTTGAAGGTCAATTTGATGAAAGAACATTGAGACAAAACAAGCTGATTTTGACATATTGGATTTAGTTTCCCGTCTTTTGCACACGTATAGCTTTATTTTAGAATTTACATCGGACTTATTCTGGAAACTGCAATAAACCAAACGCCATATTTGATTTTTATGTTGTTTATCCGGCGCTCCGGAGGTATTCGTACCAAGATGACGCACAACCTGAACAACCCTAACCTAACAACCACATACTAGGTTCAGGTTGTGCGCCATCTTGGTACGAAAACTTCGGGAGCACCCTTTATCCTTGCTATAAAAAAAATGATGTGCCGCACAACTTTATCAGTAACGGAAATGTAATTTACAAACTATTCACAGGGTCATGACACGGCAGCGGATCTTTGGGCTCTTGGAATACTGACTTTTGAATTGTTAACCGGCGTCCCTCCATTTAATTCAAACTCGGAGTCAAAAATCTACGTAAAGGCATCGAAGGGAATCGGAGCAGTTGAATTTCCGGTTAGTCATATGTGTTGCCCCGAACAAATTGGAAGCAGAAGTACTCATAAAATTACATTAAAAAAATGATTAATTTGAATTTTTATTTGTATAATTTGAGTAATAATAACTTGATTATCAATAAACAATTGAATTACAAAAAGTTCATTCTTCTAGTCCCTTTTAAGTCGTATCGTTTACCAGATTATACTTGGAAAAAATGATAAACATTAAAAGTAAAACAAAATTACTGCTGTATGATTAACTTTTTAATTGTAAATTTGTTGTTTAGAGACAGGTTGATAACGTACCCCTCCGTGTAACAAAAAATATAGAAATATGGAAGTGACTATAATAATTTTTATCCAATTTAAATTAAACGCACTTATAGTTGAAGTGTAATATTCTACGTTCAAATTCAGTTGGTGGAAATAGTAATTTTTTTTTTTGATCATGATTTGAGGAAAAATTCACAATAATAAACACTATTTCTAGAACTACGTAAAATCTCCAGCAAAAGATATTATTCGACGTTTATGCAGAGATAAACCTTCGCACAGGCTTGGAAATATGAAAAACGGTATTAATGACATCCGGGAGCACAAATGGTTCACAGTGAGTCAAGTTTAAAAGTGATAAATAAAGATTCTTCACTAAAACTTAATATTGAGTTAAAAAATTGGTATAAAACAGAAGGGGGTACTTAACAATACTCCGTACTAATTCAGATATATGCTTTATGCTGTCCGAATAATTGAAGCGTGATACTTAATTTTGTATTTCCGCTAAATTAACTTACTTTGGACAACTAATAAGAGTCAAAGACACTACATTGCTGAGATTTCCTTGGTAATCTAACTTGGACCTCAACTTGGCAATGTCTTACTGATTATCTATATATGCCTACTTTTAACGTATATAGTAAAATACTATTGGTGTTGGTGAATATCTGATAATGGAAATTTTATTTTTCTAGGGTTTCGATTGGACTGGACTCCAGACGAGACAGCTTAGAGCTGAATACGTTCCCGAAGTGAAAGACTCTCATGACACTCAACATTTTGATAATTTTGAATTTACTAGAGCTGATAGTGCTCAAAGTGAACACTCAGGCTGGGACAAAGACTTCTAATTCAATTTTGCTTTCTGAGTTATGAAAATTTGAGTTATGACATCGACATAGTCGATATATTCGTTGTATTCAAGTTAATTATTAGGGACAATTTTTTGCTATCTACTGATCTATTACTTTTTATTTTGTATTTATTTATACACGTTTTATAGGTGATATTTATAAGACTTTTTTAAACGTGTATTTATCTGGCTATATTTATGTCTTGGTCATAAAGTTGCTCACGAAAAATTGAAATCACTCTTTAAAAAGATTAAGATGAACGATAACACCAGTTGAATTGTTAAAAAAGGTAGTTGCTGTTATAAAACCCTGAAACATTAAAATCACAGCCTCACAATATCAAATAGCTTTTTGTGGCATGGAAAAATAATGTTATCACCTCTATTTTCTCCCAGTTCCCTACGATGTTATTTCAGAAACATAGTACTTGTTTTTATTTTTAGCAACAAGAATAATCAGTTCCAGAATGCCAAGGCTAATACAGGCTATTCATATTTTCACTAATTTTACACAAAAAAGCAGTGAGTTTACTGTTAATTCCTAACAATTACGCACATTTAGTTTAATTTATATTATATTATAGAATCATCGTTCCGATTAGTCTTTTCGACTTATTTTGTTTTTCCTCATTTTCGTTTGGTTTCATTTGCTGCAGAGTAAATATATTCTTAGTTTATTAATATTTAAAACTTTTGTGCAATATATTATAATTCATATTTTTGAATAATATAGATAGATGGCGTGAAATTTAATCAAATAATTCCAACGTTGTTTTAGTTCTAATCTAGTTTGTAGTATTTTTAAAATAATTTTAATTAATAGCACGTGCTAATACGATAAATACAACAAATATAATACAAACGAAGTGGGCCAACCGGTTTTCAATTTTCCAGTACTTTTAATAAAGATGAAATAAAATTATAAAGGAATATTTTTTCTAGTATATTTCAAATTTCGACCTAGTTCTGTCGCTTATACTATAAAAGCAAATATTATGAAAACTAACAATTACAACAATTTGTATTCTAAGTAAAAAAAATTGGGGGCTCAAGAAGTATGCGCACCAAGATGTTGCACAGCCTGAATCCTAACTGGTACAAACATACAATGTTCAGGTTGTGCGCCATCTTGGTGTGCATACTTCTGGAGGTCCAAAAATTGTACTATACATGAGTATAAGTACAAAAGTATGTATCATCATTTATCATGCAGATTTATCGGTAATAATATTGAAAGATGCATACTGCCATGCTGTAATTCGGTCGGCGAACAAACATTTTATTGGAAGTAGTATGCGCAAACAATTCAGAGAAAATTCCCAATCAACATAAATGCAATAGCTTTCATGGTTGATGAAACACGGTGCAATACAGTACAATTTAATTATCGCTGGAGGGCCTGCGAGGTGTATACGTCATAAGTCGAGAAGCAAGTTAATCGCCAACGCAGAATTTGCGTGGATGTTCTGATTTCAGTTATTATGAAGCCGAGGATAAGAGAAAGGCGTTTAAAATGTATTATCTGATAAAGTTTTTTAATAATGAATGCTGGGACGTGAATATTTTCGATAAAATTGGTGTTACGACTTGCAGCTGTCGCTAATTGTTTAAATTATTTGTGGAAAAAAAACAGCCAGTCGATATTTTCAGTGTGAACTATGTTACTTTTTTGAAATATGATTATTATGGGCTTAAAATAGACATTTGATTTTAGATTTCCACGTTTTACAGATAAACACAATAGAATACTGTAATTGTGTAGACAATAGAATACTGTGAAATAGCGTGTCTTCAGTCATCAATATAATTAGCCTCATTTATTCGTTTATTTAGTGGTACCATATATGGCAGTGAATAGATTTTTATTGGGCTGGAAATAAGGAAAAGTGTATTACGTCAACGTATTAATTCTAATCTTTAACATAATATGCATATAGAAACTCTTTATTGAAGATAATTTAGGGCAACTCAGACATAAACAAGAAAGAAAATGCGTATGAAGGCAGTGATACTCCTTGGTGGACCCCAGAAAGGTATGACACTCTGTAATTTAGATCACACCGGACTGAAAGGCGATAATTTCTAGTAAACTTCCTTTTATTATATATGAAGAATATTTCAATTAATTTTACATTAAAAAAAGAATTGCAAATTTCATAACTGGGGTGCGCATAGAAGATATTAACGAACTTTCCTCATCTATTCGGTGATAAATGATTTAGATGAAACATTATACCTTGCCCACTTTTGTATTGTTATCTGGTATTATTAAGAAATTGTAGTGAATATTGGCCAGAACATTTCGCTTATCATGTTCAGATAGATAACTCTCCGTCATATTGAAAATTCCACATCATGCCATAGTTAGTTTATGGTGAATTTTCTATTCACTGTCAAGCACGTACGATATATGATGCGCGTTGAACGTATATAGATCCATTGTGTTGAGGAAATGATATTCGTGTTATGATCACTTCTAGGACGTGTCGCCTGCGGCAATTTACTACGTATTGATTGCGCCGTTGCGATCTACGTATTCACTTCTGAGAAGATAAATAGATTTTTTCTCGATTTATATCGCAGTAGTTGCCTTTTAAATTGCAACCAAAATGCCTAGAAGTCATTGACGATTAAACAAAGTTGCACAGAGCAATTCATACGGCAGTTATGTGACTCTTCTGTAACATCATCTTTTGTTCAACAACTGCGGTTTAAATTATTGAATTTGATGAACGTTGCAATGAATCACGTCAAACTCAACTTGTAAATAAGAATATAAAACTTTGTCAAATATGTCAAGATGTACATTCACGAAAAAATGTATATACAAACATTGTATTATGGCGAATATGGTCGCATTTGAATCTTTGTTCATTTACTCAAATTTGTTCTCACATTATTTTCAGGTACTCGCTTCAGACCTTTGAGTCTTGACGTTCCAAAACCACTGTTTCCGATTGCCGGTTTTCCAATGGTGCATCATCATATTGAAGCGTGTGCAAAGGTTAGTATAGATGTAATCATGACTTACATATTTCAACAACCA